TATAAAGAGAAGAAAGGCGGAGCTTAATGTCAGTGAAATATGATCAATTCTTTAGATGCTTTAGCGCCATGGTTTAGTTCCGGGTTTCGCCTCCGTATAGCAAGAGACTCTTTATACAATAACAGAGACCAGTGATCAGACTTGTCAATAATTTTACAGTTGTTGAAAATTAATTGAGTAATATTAGTGTTTATAGGGTTAGATGCGTCAGGTGAGAGTTCCATAAGAGTTTTAATGTATTGAAAATATTCACAGGAGTTGATGTGGGCGTTGATCCCTGAGTTTTCGCGCGTACTATGTTCTTTCAAACGCGTGTAGAGACAGCGGTCCGTTTTGCCAATATAAACGCTTCGGCAACCCGGGCATGAAAATTCATAAATTTCATTAATTTCAAACAATTTTAAGTTTCATTAATTTCGAACAGACTTGATACGTTATATGTTCCTCAAGAAAATGATCTTTTGGTTGATGTTGAGATGCAGTTGCATGTAAGCCTATTCGAAACACTTTGCGATGTACAAGGCTTCGCTGAGAGAGCGAAACAGAAGACGGTATTAAATTGCCGTTTGAAACGAAACGATCTGGACTCTGAACGCTCTCTTCTTTTGTAGAGTTCTTTACCAAATGAAATAACGGAAATAAATTTCGTACTATCCTCCGCCAAGAAGAATTGCACACACAATCTGATAAGTGAGACAATTTATTTATAACAATGGCGACAGCGAAGCACACCGTGATTATAAATGCTAATGTGGTCGCACGACTTCCCTCACGATTTGAAGTTTGAGACTGGTTTTCTGTTGAAATTCGTCCTAATTTGCCTGTTCCGATTTTAGTTGAAAATGAGCCCTTGCAAATTTGGCAATTACTGACTGCGTTGCTTGCTTTTTTTTAGTTAAAACGCAGCCATTTACACACTGTTTATGTTCTGAATAAGCAGAGAAAACCCGCGCAACATTTTAATGCGAGTTTGTTTGTTAATATTTGGGTGCTGTCATTGGTTCTTTTTTGACAATTGACGCGCGAATGGGGCGTGTTATGAAAAGGGGCGTTTTACAAAATACCGGGCCTTGCTTGCATGCCCACTATCTGTTCCCTTGGGCCTGCACGCGGGCAACTGCAAATGCGGATTGGACCATTTCGTAAATACTATAAGGAGTAGCAAACATTTCCGAATTTTCCGCAGAAATCATTAAATTGAAATCTTTCTACTTATAGCTCCAACGTGACCCTTTGAATGAGCGCGCGCTCAGAAAGACTTTAGCAGGCGTCAAATATTAATGATATTCCGACTAATGGGGAGCCCTAACTTTAGTAAATCGGTCAGAACTCCCCACAAATCAGTCAAATCGAAAACAACATAAATGTATTGACCAATCAGGTCACTGGATTTTGACTTTTTGACTGATCGACTTTTCGTTTGACAGGTGCTCATTGACTTGACCGAGCTCGTTGGCTCAGCCAATGTAAGAAATTTGATCACTGCATGGAATACGTACACTTTGATTGGATGGTTTATTGCTAGCGCTGCATGGTAATAGACACTAGACTGAGCATATTACATAACAATTCTTATTTTCTTAAATGAAAGAACTCGTTAAGCTGTAGTGTAACTGATTTTTCAGTTTCTTGTTTTTATGGTTTGTTCCCGAGATATTTCTATTTGTTTGATATGTAAATGAGTGTGAATTTGTCCACTAATTGATGACGTCACATTGGTTGCAAGCTCTTCAAAATGGTTGAATATCACTGCTATTATCCAAGAGGATAATTTCAAACTTCACTCTCTGGTAAATGCAATGAAATTCACTGGAAAAAACGAAAACTGATATCTACAGTTTTTAGAGTTAATAGATTTACAACCAGTGTAAGTTGAGCTTGCAACCAATGTGACGTCATAAATTAGCGGACATATTCACACTCATTTACATATCAAACAAATTGAAATATCTCGGGAACAAACCATAAAAACATGAAACTTAAAAATAAGTTACTACAGCTTAAAGAGTTCTTTCATTTAAGAAAATAAGAAAATTCATGTCATATGCACTTTATAAAGTACTTCTGTATGATAAAAGATAACTGGATTATTGTTCGAATATTTACGACTTTAAGTTTGCAATTTTTATGTTAGCAGCGTGACCGGTTTGACGATTCCTAGATCCGACCCTGATTGTATCTACCTCAAAAAAGGCTTTTATAACGATCCATCAACCAGCCTTATAAATATTGTAAAGCCATACTGAGCAACAAAATGCGTCAGTTTACAAGGCTAAGTTTAAAATACAAAATGAATTAATATAAGTACTATCTATGAATATAAGTAATATAAGTACTGTCTATGGACATTATGTTAATAAAATTAAAAAACATCTATTAATAAGACAAATATTGAAACGTTCAGTTTGTACTCGAGATAAAATATAGTCATGACTGCGATTACGTAGCTGTCCGGAATTTTTCTGTGGCACATTTTACTCATATGATAATTCAAAGGCAGAGCTCATGTTTGGATGATATACGTCATACAAATGAAGAGAATGCATTCCATCTTAGGAGTCAATTTGTGGCCACAATGTCCGTTCGTGGCATATTCCAATTTTTTTTTTTTTATTACGTCTAGTTTCTATAATTATAACAAACGTTGATTTCCCCGCCCCTTAATTAATATATATTCAATGTTGGGTAACATTACCATATTATTTTGTTGTATCATAGCATCGGAATTTGGAAAACACCATTGATTGGCAAGGAAGTGCGGAAGGAAGTAAAAATTTTAAAGGTAACGCAGGATACAATAACTTCAATTTGCCTTGTACCAACGCGATGCAACCAGGAATGTCCGCCATTTTTGGATAGCAAACCACACAAGAGAAAGGCAAATGCGAAACAGAAAATTAAATGAAATCGAATTGCGTTATTTTGTTTATACTGTAAGTGCTGTTTGCTTCGAACACTAAATAACTACTTCACTTGTTGTCATTTTCCTTTCCTTCACGCTGGCAATATTCGGCAAATTTTCTGAAAGGAAGCAACTCATTCAATATAAGCACACACGAGTGAAGACATATTCTATTTGCTAAATGTTACAAACCTGCTGCAAGTTTTCCCCCAAAATATGGCAGAGAATGCCTGGACTCAAAAGTGACGGCTTACTGGCTTGTAGTAAGCCGTCACTTTTACAGGTTATGACTAGTTTTTGCTCGTATAGATGGCACTAATCTGATTCAGTCTATATAAGGTATATAATCGACTCATTGCCAGGCTTGTCCGCATGTCATTAGCCTGCGTCAATATGCAGTAACGTAGCGAAGATTTCCAGTTAAGTGGCGGGGCGGGGGGAGGGGGGGGGGTTAGAAAATCTCAAGACCTAATCAATTTTACCCTGCCCTAGTTCCAATAATTGCGAGAACCACTGGGCATTTTATGAAATACACAACAACGGTAACTCCAAATAAAATGTTGTGTTTATTCGGAGTTATCGTTGTTGTTTAGTTCCAATATAGTTTGTGTATTATGCGAAAATGTATTGGACTCGCAGGCTACCCAATCATAATAAAATATGGGTAAATTAATATCAAGATTTTCCATCTGCAAGACCATTCAAACATAATACAATATGTATGGATATTCATAATAGTACAACAAAATGTTAGGTGGTTAGGAGTTATAGTCCCCCCCAAAAACAAAAATTATAGAATTGGTAAAGTTAACCGTTTTCAGCATTTTCCGGATAAGTTTATCGTGTTTTGGTTTTAACACATAACAACTGTTTAATCACAAACCAATCCTGAACATTTAAAACATATAGCCAGATATATAAAATTCACATTACAAGAAAATAAAATATAATGCGCTTGTTTAGGACTGGTCAGAGTTTTTCTATGCGGTGGACACAATTTCCACCTCTGATCACGTCGATGTGAATATGTTATATCATATGTAAATCCTCCAACTTACCAAATTCAACTACTGCAGATTTCAACTGGTGCAAGGGATTTAATTAGTAAGCGCCACAAGATTGATGGTAATAAACGTCAGAAATGTTGAGCCTTACAGAAGCGTTAACATAATTGAAGTGTATTTCTCAATTTCATTTATTTGAACACCATGCTGTAATGTTCAGTAATAAGTAACCCGCATAAAGGCGGGAAACAAACATAAGCTGAGTCACGTGGGAATGAACACATGCATGGAGCAGGTCACTAGGAATGTTATTGGATAGCATAGTAATAGTAGTTATATCAGTTTAAGTTAAAAGTACAAATTTATGCATGCATATACGAGACTACTTCAGATAATGAAAATAATTAACTTTTTCTTTTTTTGCTGCTGGTTGACGACATCTGCTGCATGATAGTGGGTATGTGGTCAAACCAACCGATAGATGGTGAGCTCATGGCAAAGAATATTGTACATCTCCAAGATTGGTTTGATTTTTGTCAACCACTTCAAGCGTTCAGCCGCCATATTTAGGCAATATTTAAATGTGTAAATTAAAGAAGTTACATGACAACATTTATTTTAATTGACTACATTTACAATATACATGAAAACACAAATATTCAATGCTTGCTAAAGTTCTTCAAGTCCCAAAAACAGCACTACATTTGATTAGTTGTTGGCAGTCAACTTTTCAAGTTCGCAAAGTCGCACGGTTCTTTTTGTACACAAGGTATATCGATCTCTGTCTAAGGTCTTTCTACATGATACTGCTTTGCCGAAGGACGGTAGATGATGAGTCACTTGATATAACTAGAAAATGGCGTTCAAAGAAACTGGAATGTTGTTGCTCAACAAAATTTCAACAAAATTGTTATGCTCTATTCCGCCTCATATCTCGTCCTGGGAAATTGGATCATATAAATAGCCCTCGGTCTTACTTTCCTTGTTGTTCTCTGAAATAGTGCAATGAATCGTTATATCTCAAGGTTAATCTGACATTCAATTTTTCATGCTCAGTAGCCTGAGATTGAACTGACGCCTTAAACACATGAACATTTTTTGGTATAACGTAATCATTTCTGAAATATTCAATTTTGACAAACTATTCAGTTCATTTCACATTACAGAAAAATGAATTATTTTATAACAATTAACAGCTACAACTTTTTCCGTAACAAACGAAATTAGAATATCAAGAAGCAAATTAAATACATTGATGTTTTTAATTTTCAGGAATACGAAATATTTCATCAACGTGCGAAATCACACATTTCATACTCAGAATGAATATGAGATATGAATCAGCTGTTTCATACCTGAAATGACATGAAACATTTTGCAAGACATTGCCTATTTCTATCGTGTGTTTCGTTGACAGTCTGAGATTGATCTAAATTGTCGCTCAAAATACATTAATTAATAAATATTAACTAGATAGACACATGTGAATCTATCTAAAATTCTATAGCTGAAATATAAGAGTCTTAATTTACTTTATATAACCCCCAAGCATGCCTTTCAAATACGATTGAATGAGAACTTTTAGTAAGTCCAGTTTCCCTTTAGTCGTAACTTCGTGAACATATCAAGATTAATAGAGTGTCGGTATATCTCTCTACAGTATAAGTAAAGACTGATTTGCATTCATCATACTGAAGACGAGATACAGTATATCCATTCTATTTCACATTGCCGAACATGATTTGATCACGACATGAATGACGGTCAAACGGAAACCTGGCATGACCGACTATAAAAACTATGGAACTTGACAGACTACTGAGTTTTACTTCACATATTTTTCTTCGTGACGTGTTCGTAAACTTTCACATATAAATAGAGAAGAAAAGAAGCAAGAGTATGCATGACAAGTGCTCGACATTTTGAAATATGCATTATATAACTCATCATGAAATTGATTATATAACAAGTGTTGATCAATTACTTAAACAATAGATGAAATTTGTTTGTTGTATAAGTGAACTAGCCAAAAAACAGGTCAAACACAATTTGCTGGTCTGTCAACCTTCTCCACCCCCTAACTCTCTACATACATTACGATATATACAATATATAATTTCAGCTACATTTGTTTGATGGCATAAGCTGATAGCTATATATTTAACTTATTATTTTCCCATGCAAATTGTGCCAAGTGACGCGTTGTGAGTCAGGGTAACATGAATCATGAATCACAACATGAATGTACTTTAGAATTTCGATATATTTATCAACCATGTTTAGCCACATATTTTTAAAATAGTCATTTTATCCAGCTGAAACTTCGAATAGATATATGCGGGAACGTACTGTCTTCCTAATTGCATTGTATTACACCATACACTAAGATGTATAATGTACATTGGCGCAGCCAGCCCCACAATTGAGTCCCGTTATGCAAATTCAAAATTATTATCATTATTCATTTCTTTAGAAATTGTTTGTTTTCACAGTCAACGCATGAACACGAAAATATTTGCATATATAGCGGCAAAATCGTCGGACTGGCTACGGTACTGGTAATGTACCGTTGATACAACTAATTACAACGAAAAAAATAGCATAAAGACAGATACATGCAGATACCCTTCTGCGCTAAATTGTTTATAAGAGCCATTAATTAAGATTTGCGAGACAAGTTACACACGCTATTAAGTAAGGATTGTGGCAACCGTTGCGTACAATAAAACTATTTCAGCATTGTGCAACGCTTGCTGCAACTTATCTCGCTATTGTCTTGGCATTCGAAATATTTACTTGCTATATACGGTATAGTTTTGGTATCCGAATTAACTTGGATCGAAATATATTGGTGCTTAAAAGAGACAAAAACAGTCCACAAAAGATAGATCCCACAATTCATCATTACAAGGAGAAATTGCCAGTTAAGATGAAAAACAAAGTGGAAGGAAAGCAACTCCACAATACATAAACGGGGTTTGTATAAGGTTGTCGAAATTTTCTCCGCCCGAATAAAGCGCAGTATTGACTGAAAACGCACAAATCAAACATAGTATTTGATAGCATTCAATGATACCGCTGAAAAGATAGTACGTCAGTTCGAGCCGAAAAGTGAAAGGAATAGATAGAAAGATTTACAATACGGCTTACCATGAGATTGAAAGATGAGGTGTTGCTTGATGAAATAGAAAGCAAAGATCCGAAAAGAAAGTGCTTTGTTTAGATTGACTGTGTGAAGTAAGATGAAAAAGACAACCACGCAAGCTTGCATGTAATTTTGAGGTGGAAGACACAACTCGTGAATACCGTACAAATTTGGAAAGATTTAACTTACGCAGGTATTGTTTTTAGAATCGCAACTTTCATTACAAGACCATCAACACCAGATTGCAGATTGCAGTTGCATTTTGGAATACGGTAAATTACGGATCTGGTTAGTTCGACAGCAAGTTTTGAATTAGGCAAACTGGAATTAACAATAGTCCGTGTGTTGTGACCTCGAAAAGTGTCTAGAAAACGATTTTCATTGAGCATGTCTTAGATCTGAAATATTTTTACGAGAAATAACACTTTCGAACACGCTGAGTTCAAATCCGAAAAGTTCTCGCTCCGTATATAGACCTGCAGTTTTCTGACAAACTGCTATTTTATCTTCACAAATTTCACAGCAAATGTTTTCATTGTTCAACGACACGGATCGATGACGATACACAATTATGTCAATCATGCAAAACGACCAATTTCTATTAACCAGTCTTCCTTTCAAAAGATCAGTTTAAATTTGTTCGAAATTATATTTTGAGTTATGTAATTTAATGCGTGTTGGACGTAAACAACGTATCTTGTCTACAACTTTGAGAGAGTACAGATAACTCTTTCTAAAATCCTTAGTTCTGGCTATATCTCTACAAAATCACAAGGACGTGAATGTTAAGTCTTTGGGCTATGTCTCTGGGCTAAGCAATAATTCCTTACATGCGATCAAACTGTTTTATACAAAAACGTAAAACGGTAATCTTATGTAACGGATCAGCATTTAAATTCCCAACAGTTTCCGAGACGTAATTCAAGAGATAACTTATCATTGCATTTGAATTATTACATCAGTTAGCGTTATACTGTGCGATAAGCGACATGCACACATTTCTGCACTTCGTCGTAAGTATACTATATTTGTCTTTATATGTGAACATTTATTCTTATAGTTTAGGGTTTTTTTACGATTGATCCTGTCGTAAGTCTTCCACCAGCAAACAATCGACAATATTTCAATTTATCGTTGTCTTTGCCGTTACGTTGGCTTCGCGTTACTTTTGTTTCAAATACCTTGATCGCGTTAAAAGAGTTATTTTTTAGGCCAGTGACATAGCCAAAAGACTTAACATTAACTTCCTTGCGATTTTATAGAGATATCGCTAGAACTATAAGGATTTTAGAAAGCATTATCTGTACTTTCTCAAAGTTGTGGACAAGATGCGTTGTCCGGTCTTTTGTTAAAAGGGAGACTGGTTAATAGAAAATGGTCCTTTTGAGTGACAGTAATCGTGTATCGTCATCGATCCGTGTGGTTGAACAATAAAAAATTTGTCGTGAAATTATTGAAGATAAAATAGCAGTTTGTGAGAAAACTGCGGGTCTACGGAGCGGGAACTTTTCGGATCTAAACTCAGCGTGCTTGAAAGTGTTAGTTCCCGTAAAAATATTTCAGATCTAAGACATGCTAAATGAAAGTGAACGATATCAGGACGCAGCGGACGGCCTATATAATTTACGACTATATTACGACTATCACTATAATCAATGCTAAAAAGACAGACAAAAAAATATAAGATTTAGCCGTGAAAGTATAAAGAATAAAAATAGCCTTAGTGTCACAAATAATTAGAAACAAAATTTAATTGTTTTCAAAACCTTTTGTTAGGATGTAATGAAAGGAAACTATTAATTCACTTAATTACATGGTTGAAATTCAACATTGGAGAACAGACTTATGCAAGCACAATAATTATCAACTTATCACCATCACGCAGAATGTTCTGCACTGTGGTCAGAAGTGAAATGCATTTCATCGGCTACATCTTCGTCACTGCTCTCGCTAGAGTAAGGTGACATTTGATCACCATCATCATCGTCAATAATGAATTCATCCTCTGCAGTTTCTGTTTGAAATGGCGCTGCAATAATCTGTGTTCTTTGTGATTGATGATTTCTTTGCGCATGCA